CATACTTCGGGAAACAGTATTTAAGCATGGGCAATCGATTCTGCGTTTTCCAATCCTCCCAACTTTGATACACTCGACACATCGGATCAATGTATCTCATGTAGTAACTGTCATTGACTTTTTGCCATAAAAGTGAGAAAATTGGAACAGGGAATTCTTTATCACCTTCTTTACAAAAAATGAATCTGAAACCGATCATGAACTGTTTTTCGGGAGCTTTCAGCCAGACTTCATGAATAACTTTGTAGATTTTCCCTGCAGTTTCTCTTTGTTCACTCGTGTAAGCATCTTCAATTTCCTCCTTTTCTTCTTGTGGTGGGCCGAAAAGAGCAAAACAGATTTTGATGATTCTCAAGCTTTCACTCAAATCCGTAACATCGTGAAATTGAGCACCATCGAATTGCAGATAGTAGAATTTCTGTGATTGAGCGGCCGTTTCTTTCCATTTCTTCACATCGTCTTGATCCCATGTTGACAAGTATTCACCGCCAAGAGTGTTACCCATTTGTCTGAAATTTATTTATTTATTTAATAGCAAGATAAGTACTCAAATCAATCAGAAAGCATAAAAAGTGAATTCAAATGAACTTGGAGATTGATGGCAGAAACAAGAACAACAATGGCAAACAATGAAAATAAGTCCGGCACAGTATAGCTATATCAACAAAAGCTCAATTTTGTGTTTCAAAACGAGTATATTGTCTCATAGATATTTTAGAGAAGTAGCTTAAAGGGGGGTTTACAAATTTTCGGAGACACTGCAAGGCTTGGAGAAAAACAAGATCGTCACTCATCAGACACCTCAGCTAAAAGGCACCTATTTGAGAAAACTAAAACCACAAGCGACCACAAATGGAAAAAAAGATCTAATTGTGTCAAGCGCTGAAGACGTCCTACGGTGGAGGAGATCCAGTCACTTCTCCTGGTGGAGGAGATCCAGTCACTTCTCCTGGTGGAGGAGATCCAGTCACTTCTGGTGAAGATGCGCTGGAAATTGATAAGATAGGAAGCCGATTTGAGGAACTGCTGTACTTGAGCGAAGATGAAAGTGAGCAAGAGGAAGAATTATAGATTAACAATTTATTTTTATTGTTTTTTTGTGCTTTTTATTTTGTTTTTAAATTTATCTGCAATTAAAACTCAATCGATCTAGACTGTGCTGAGGTGTCTGATGAGTATCTTGTTTTTCTCCAAGCCTGCAGGTCCCAAGCCTTGCAGTGTCTCCAAGCCTGCAGTGCTCCAAGCCGCGTGCCATTCCCAAGCCTGCAGTCCCAAGCGAGGTCTCCAAGCCTTGCAGTGTCTCCAAGCCTTGCAGTGTCTCCAAGACTTGCAGTGTCTCCAAGCCTTCCAGCGTCTTCCAGCGTCTCCAAAAATTTGTAAACCCATCAAATCACTCTAGCCGGGTGATTTTTATTCTTTTTATAATAAAATCAGCGATATTAAAATGAAAAAAACAGGTGGTTGCCGTAAAAAAAATTTTTTATCGTCACCCGGTCGCGATTATTTGATGGCAAAAAAAGAACAATGAAAATAAGTCCGGCACAGTATTGCTATATCAACAAAAGCTTAATTTTGTGTTTCAAAACGAGTAGATTGTCTCATAGATATTTTAGAGAAGCAGCTTAAAGCTTAGAGAAGCAGCTTAAACTGTAACAGGTAACACTAAACAAGTAAAAGGTTCCAACTTTTTCGATATAACTGTATTGTACCGGATTTTCAATGAGTCAGAAATGAAAACAAGCGAAAATCATTCTTCTTCATCATTCTTCTTCATCATCTTCTTTGTAGAACCACCAGTAATGAGTGTTGGGAATATTGCTGTAATCGATTTCTTCCAATGTCACATTTTCAGGCTCACTTCCAGATGTGTTTTCAATGAACCTTTCGATTATTTTAATGGGTTCGCTCTCAAGGATTGCGACAAATTGAGAGTGCAAAGTTGACGTTTCTTTCATTTCATCGACAATGAATTCAAGTCCAGAGCGCGACATTTGTGCTTTCTGTCGCCGATCCACATTCATTCCGATAGCAAACTGTCGATAAGCTGGTTCGAAAAGTGGTAACGATTTCTGCAAGACATCGACAACTTTTGAGCGATTCGCTTCGTCAAACAATGGTTTCTCGGATCGAAAAGCGGTTAGTGTCATCGAAATGAAATCATTGTTCGTTTGAACCGAGGGACTAATGTTTTGAGAAAGTTTTAATAGCTGAGAAAAAAGATTGGAAGATTTGGATATTGAAGCTTTGGATATTGAAGATTTGGACATTTTAAAAATCGATTTAGGAAGGCGAAAGAATGAAAGAAAGGCGACTTTTGTGACTTTTGTGTTGCAATGTTTCTTTTCCTGCGCAATAAAAGTGCGATCGGGGGTGCGGGTCACGCTTTAGCAGGCAATGTTTTGTAATTGACGTCATTTAGATGTCATTTTGGCAACACAGACATTTGGCAAACATTTTAGCAACACAGATGTGATTTTGGCAACACAGACACGTAAACCGATAAACGATAAACGCAACTTTGACACAGTTGTTTGATAAACAACTGTTGCTTTGTTGACAAATGCTTTGTTAACAAACAGTTCTAGCTAAGAGGTATAAATGCGAGAAAATTTGGTTCTTTTTATTCATGAATGGGTCGTTGTTGTGTTTTAGCCATATTGGAATCACCAACTCGTAATATGGATCGCTTCTTGATCTCTTCTTCTTCTTCTTCTTCTTGAACAAGAATATCTGATTGATGTCTCACTCCTTGTCAACTCACTCACCTGGTAAAGTTGAACGAAAAGATTTCGATAGAATTTTGTCACAAAAAGAGCGATGCGGCAATCTGCGGAAGAATGCAAAGTGGTGATCATTAGCGCATCGGAAAAAAGTTTCTAAAATGAAACATCGTGTAAATAGAGTTTTAAATAGCTACTTGTTTTTTTTGCTTTTTGCTTTTTGAGAGTCTGTAGCTTTCTAGAGATAGCGCATAGGATAAAAAAAAATCTGTAGCTCTGTAGCTTTCCAGAAATTTGCCCTTCATGCAAGAATTTATAAAATTTCAATGTAAACGCTTCAGTTTCAAATAGCTGTAAAAACTTTTCGAAAAGAGATATCTCAAAACGGTTTTTACCAATCGATCCGTCTTGAATTCAGCTTTAGGATGAGCTATAAAACGTCAAGATTGGACAAATTTAAGGTACTCTCCCAAAAAATCGGAAACGACTTTTCCCTCAACCCAATAGTATTTTAGTAGGCGTAACGAGAAAGATTGAAATGCAATGAAATATTTGAAAACACAAAACTCCATTTCTCTCACCATATTTCGTTCGATTCCATTTCATTTCATTTCTATATTTTTTTTCTTTTCTATAAATCGTTTTCAGGATGGTGTTCAAGAAGTGATGCAGCGAAAGACTTATTATCTTCCAAATAATGAAATGTGTGTGGTAATGGAGAGACCCGGAAAGACCACGATCAGCACTATTTTCAAGAATCAAGGCGGCTATGAGATGTATCAACAAAGAATTCAGGTTAAACAAGCCTTTAACTTAAAAACTACTTTACTGAGGGGGAAAGGATCGAAGGCCCAACCCTTTACTCTTTCCTTTCCAAAAGGATAATCAAATTCTTAACGTAAATTCAAAGTCTAGTGCATTGGTCTAAAGCTCATCATCAAGGAAAGTTGTTTTCAGGTGACAAACACTCCACCACTGAATGTAGCACTTGAGAGAACTGGTCAACTCTTGGGCTTGGATGGTCTCAATTTACAAATCTGTCACAGTCGATCAACCTTTAATCAGAATACCTTTGCCACAACAAAAGCTCTGAAACAAGATTCCGATTATTACCGTTTGATGATGAGCATTTTGTTGAGTGATTATGCTGATTATTTGGAGGATAATAACAATGATAAGTCGGATGAGTAATGAGTAGACAAAGCCTTATTTGATCCTTTTTTGCTTATAATCAATAATGCTCATAATTTGTATTGTCTTTTCTTATTACATGGACATTTAAAAAATAAATATCACTCAACTCTTCCCTTTGCCAGTTCATTCGAAGACGATTGAGCTTACATAAAAATTAGGGAAGCATGGGAAATGGCATTTGCACTCTGATTTTCCTAAACGTGGGTTTACTTTGAGACATTCTTCTAGTTGGGCGCGTCCTTGGAGGTTAAATGACTCTGGACACTCTGGACAAAGCCTTATTTGATCCTTTTTTTGCTTATAATCAATAATCCTTGGAGCTTAAATGGCTCGGGGCAAAGCCATATTTAGGGCTGGGCTCGCGTCGAATCTTGTGAGCCTTGTGAGCCTTGTGAGCCTTGTGAGCCTTGTGAGCCTTGTGAGCCTTGTGAGCCTTGTGAGCCTTGTGAGCCTTGTGAGCCTTGTGAGCCTTGTGAGCCTTGTGAGCCTTGTGAGCCTTGTGAGCCTTGTGAGCCTTGTGAGCCTTGTGAGCCTTGTGAGCCTTGTGAGCCTTGTGAGCCTTGTGAGCCTTGTGAGCCTTGTGAGCCTTGTGAGCAATCCCTCTGCAGATCGCATCCGAGAGGTTACTTATAAGCCAAGAATAAATATCAGTCAACTTGGGGAATTTGTGGGGGAGAAGGAACCAAATTTGTCAAGAAAATGAACCAAATTTCTAGAGAAAAGGAATGTGTGACGTGTGTGTACTTTTAACGTTCGGTGACGTGTGTGTACTTTTTAAAAACTTTAACAATCTTTTCTAAAATCTTATAAACAATCTTATAAACCTTTAAAAGCTATCATAGGCGATAGGAAAAGAGTTGCGATCGTTTTTTAAAAGTTTACACACTTTAGAAAAGCTCACAGGTAAAGTTCAACATTGCGTTAAAGTTTTGTAGTTTCATTTTGTGAAGAGAATCATTTTTAAAATCATATTTTATACTTTATCACAAACTATTTATACCAGTAAAAGAGTCGTTTCAACAGAAAACAAAAAAAGTTTGTCATATCACAGAAGTTGTTTCGATGAAAAGCATCCTCATTCGTTTACAACTCGTCTTTCTTACTCTGAAAATTTTTCAATCATTATTATCGTTTTCGTAATGTTTAATCGTTTGATTGTAGAGTTGTAAAGTTGATTTTAAAGCTGGCAAAATATAGCTGTTAGACTATAGTAGAGAATGGAATAAAGAGTGCGGCAGAATGACGTACCGTAAACACTATAATAGTACCCGATCCCCCTCGTACAGTCGCGTGGTCGCAAAAGTTTTAATATTTCATTTTTTTCAAAGCGCCCGTACTTTCAAAAAATGCGTCTTTGGTAGCAAAAAATAGCCCTGAATTTCAGCTATTTTTTAGTATCTAAACGAGCATTGTAGCATAAACCAGTGTCGAGAAAAACTCGTTCAAAGCTAGACTACGCAACACTCCGCACCGTCATTATGGGGATGGGGTCCAATTAGCTTTGGAGGCGTTTTTCTCGATACTGGTTTATGCTACAATGCGCGCTTAGGTATCAAAAAATAGCCCTGAATTTCAGCTATTTTTTGATACCTAAACGAGCATTGTAGCATAACCTAGTGTCGAGAAAAACTTGTTCAAAGCTAGACTACGCAACGCTCCGCACTGTCATTATGGGGGTGGGGTCCAATTACAGTATTTACGGTAATCAAAGGGACGTTGACGATCAGTAACTGATTGATTCTTGAGTTTCTAAAAGATGCGCTTATGATTTTTAAAACGCATCTCTAGGGAGCTGGTCAAAAATAGGTCAATACGGCAAAAATAGCCCTCCGCAGTGAAGTTTCTATGTGTTTCTTATTCTTATTGAATGCAGAATAAAATCATCTACATCTTGCATACTTTCGGATCACTTAAAACATAATTAATGTCAAGAAAAGCTCAGTTAACCTCTTTTCTAAGCCGTGCCAAACTACGCAACACTCCAAACTGATCTAATCAAATTCTAAACCCTTTAACCCCATTCTGACTGACCTTCTTCTTCGAATCCTTTCCCTTCTTCTCCTCTTTCTTATCCTCTTTCTTTTCCTTCTTCTCCTTATCATCCTTCTTCTTATCCTTCTTCTCATCTTTACTTTTCTTCTCTTCTTTCTTTTCTTTCTTTCTTTTTCTCTTCCCTTTTCCTTCTTTTCTTTTTTCTCTTCTTTCACTTCTTTCTTCTCTTTCTTCTCTTCTTTTTCCTTCTTTTCTTTCTTTTCTTCCTTCTTCTTCTCATCCTTCTTCACTGATGATGATTCAGTGTTCTGAAAAGTATTTTATCAGTATTTTTGTTGATTGAATTGATAGATAAATTGATTATAGATCAAAAGTGATTAGTCAAGCTATTTTAGAAAATTAGGTAATTGAAAAAGCAACTTAAGTAAGTAAAATCAACTTTTGAAACCAACATTTGAAATCAACAAAAGTAAGTTTAAAAAATGAATTTCCAAAGGATCAAAAAAGACTAAAGCTAACACTGAAAGACTAAAGCTAACACTGAAAGACTAAAGCTAACACTGAAAGACTAAGCTAACACTGAAAGACTAAGCTAACACTGAAAGACTAAGCTAACACTGATCCAAGAATTCTGAGCTAACACTGAAAGACTAAGCTAAACTGATCAGCTAAATTAAGCATCGAAGAACAAGATTGATGATATCTTTTTCTTTCAAACCTTTCCAGAAACCTCAGTCCATTCTTTTTGTGCTCGAGCCATTGCGTCAATGATTTGCGGGACGAGTGGATAGAAGTATTTGTTGTTTTTGTAGCGCTTTTCGTTGTTTGTGCTTAACGGTGAGCCGTTAGAGTCTAAAAATTGATTGATAAGTTCATTGATAAGTTGAAATATCTGATAAATAAAGTTGGATTTTGATAATTCAATATTCTGATAAGTACTTTGTTAAATAAAGAATTCAATGGATAGATTTGAATCTGGTTTTTGTAAGCATTAAAAGCAAATTCTATTTATGCACACCTAACTCACGAAAATAGAAGAGTTTAGTGTTTTTGTGAGTAGGGCCCAGTTTCACCACCACTTAATACACCTTATGAAGCTAATACAGTGTATGAGCTTCATAAGCTTATTAGCTATTAGGTTGGCAAGTTATAAACGATCGTTTTTGGCGTAATGTGTTTTCTGAAGTGCTTATCCAATCGGCTTATCCAATCGGCTTATCCAATCGGCTTATCCAATCGGCTTATCTAATCGGCCTATCCAATCGGCTTATCTAACCGGCTTATCCAATCAAAAAACGGTTTGCTTGATTCAAAAGCCCTATCCTTAATCTACAAAATGGCTTTTTGAATTTTTGAAAAATCTTTTTATTTTAGAACTTTTTCAGGCATTTTAATGTAAGAGTTGAAAATCCTGGTTTCTAGCATTAGCTAATATATTTCTATAGCTAATATATTTTTGAGTGATTGCATACTTTTTTAAAATAAAACGCTTCATCAATTACATAGTTTCCCAAAATTTCAGAACAATCCAATCGATCGAACCGTTCTCTTTTCTTTTAATCTTTTTTTTCTTTAATCTTGCTTAAGTCCAAACGAAAATGATCCAAATGATTCAAATGATCTAACTTGCCAACCTAATAGATCATTTGAATCATTTGAAATATATTAGTATTTGGATCATTTGAATCATTTGAACCATTTGAATCATTTGAATCATTTGGATCATTTGGATCATTTGAATCATTTGGGATCATTTGAATCATTTGAACCATTTGAATCATTTGAATCATTTGGATCATTTGAATCATTTGAATCATTTGAACCATTTGGATCATTTGAACCATTTGAATCATTTGGATCATTTGGATCATTTGAATCATTTGGATCATTTGAATCATTTGAATCATTTGAATCATTTGGATCATTTGGATCATTTGGATCATTTGAATCATTTGGATCATTTGGATTATTTGAACCATTTGAATCATTTGAATCATTTGAATCATTTGAATGTTTGAATCATTTGAATCATTTGAATCATTTGAATCATTTGAATCATTTGAATCATTTTGAATCATTTGGATCATTTGGATCATTTGAATCATTTGGATCATTTGAATCATTTTGAATCTTAATACCTACCGTAAATACTGTAATAGTAGCCCACCCCTCTCGTTCAGTCGCGTAGCCACAAAAGTTTTAGTATTTCATTTTTCAGCGCCCGTACTTTCAAAAATGCGTCTTTGGTATCAAAAATAGCCCTGAATTTCAGCTATTTTTTGATACCTAAGCGCGCATTGTAGCACAAGCCAGTGTCGAGAAAACGCGTTCCTAAAGCTAGACCACGCAACACTCCACACCGTCATTATGGGGTGGAGTACTTTAGTTAGTAACTACTTTAGTTAGTAGTTATTGGGTTGACAGGTTGTTCCAAAGTCCCTCCTTGACTTGTCTTTAGTCCTAACTAGAAGCTTGACTCTTGGCCTAAAAGGCAGACCAAGTCAAAATGATGACCGATGCATAATTCGATCTTGTCAACATCAATTTAAAAACCAACTTGGCTTGACTCTGGCTGAGTAGACAAAGAAAGTCAGAGCAAAGTCAAAATGATGTTCAAAGCTAGACTACGCAACACTCCGCACCGTCATTATGGGGGTGGGGGCCAATTAGCTTTGGAGGCGTTTTCTCGATACTGGTTTATGCTAATGCGCTTAGGTATCAAAAATAGCCCTAATTTCAGCCATTCTTGATACCTAAATGAGCATAGTAGCAAAACCAGTGTCGAGAAAAACTCGTTCAAAGTTAGGCTACGCAACACTCCGCACCGTCATGCGGGGTGGGGTCCATTAAGTATTTACGGTAATACCCATTAGGCTAATACGAGTGATGGTGAAACCGGGTCCAGAGCTGAAATTCAGAACAATTTCACCCAATAACCTAATACATTACTAAGCCAGGATCTAAATATTCAAAACTTATTTATATTCAAAGCTTTTTATATTCAAAGCTTTATCCAATATTCATCTTCAAAACCCTTACTAAATACCTAGTAAATTGCTAATCAAAGATCTAAATGTGAAAAAAAACGACAACGAAACGACAAGGAAAACGCAAAATGTCAAACACTATCTTGTAACCGGAGCAAATGCAATGAAAATAACCCGGGAAACATCTCTCTTTGTGTTTTTTTTTCTTTCTTTCCTTTGTTTATCAGAAGAATTTACCCCGAACCCCGGAGCCACGTCCCAAAGAATGTAATAAAATAAGGAGATAAGGGAAATCCACCTATCCACACACCAACAATAAAAATCGGGAAAGCAAAAACTGAGCTCTAGAAAGGGTTAATTTGAACAAAAGATCACACAAAAACTGTGAATTAGATTTTTTAGCTTCTCTTTAAATGTATTTCTAGGATTTCGAATGTATTTCTAGATTTTAAATGTATTTCTAAGGCTTTAAATGTTTCCTAAGGCTTTAAATGTACTTCTAAGGCTTTAAATGTATTTCTAAGGCTTTAAATATATTTCTTAAGGCTTTAAATGTATTTTTAAGGCTTTAAATGTATTTCTAAGCCTTTAAACATATTTCTTAAGGCTTTAAATGTATTTCTAAGGCTTTAAATATATTTCTTAAGGCTTTAAATGTATTTCTAAGGCTTTAAATGTATTTCTAAGCCTTTAAATATATTTCTAAGGCTTTAAATGTATTTCTAAGGCTTTTAAATATATTTCTTAAGGCTTTAATGTATTTCTAAGCCTTTAAATATATTTCTAAGGCTTTAAATGTATTTCTAGGACTTAAAGAAAAGATTAAGACTGGACTTGACTTGACTTTAAGACTTGACTTCAACGATTGACTAGTGCTGATTCAAGGGCTTGTAAAATGAGTTGTATAAGTCCAATCGGAAAGCTTTTTGTAGAGAAATGTAGCCAAGATTAACGGCTACAATTCCCCTTATATAACACTTGGTACTTTAAAGTAAATTAAGCGTGCACTACCTCACCAAAAACGTTGTCCGGATAATTTTGAGACACTGCGCTTAATGCATCTTTTGGGCTTTCTAAGAAAATAAATAGTTAATCTTTTTATTTTATTCATATGTTTATCGTCTAATTATTCATTTATAAATGAAAATTTCAAAAAAAGTGACTTTTAGAAGGACGATAAGACTTTTCTGCCAAACCAATCTACAGAATGGTCCAGAATGGCAACCCATTTTCAGAAAAGTAGCTGGAAAATGTGTAACGTATTTTAAAAGTCTCAAATGTTCTCTAAAGATTTTGAAGCCCTTAATCTTGGCTTTATTTATCTGCTAAAAACTCTACAATCGGATCTATGCAGCCTATTTTACAAGCTTTCGAATGAGCTCTAGTTGGCTCTAGTTGGCTTCTCTAGTTGGCTTCTCTAGTTGGCTTCTCTAGTTGGCTTCTCTAGTTGGCTTCTCGAGTTGGATAAATAAAGCCAAGATTAAAGGCTTCAATTCTTCTTTTCAGCTTAGAACGAGCTATTGGGACGGGGTATTGCTGGTCACCCTCTAGTTTAGCCAATCGTGCGTCATTTTTCAGCGGTACTCACGCATTTAAGAAGTACAAGCTAGTCGGTTATCTAATAGTGTTAAAACAAACAAAACAAAACCCTACAATTATTCAATTTTCCATATTTCTGCTCATTCTGTACATGCCGCACTTTGTACTTTTGTCACCTTACCGAGAAAGAGAATCCTCGGAATGTATCCTCCATCAGGAGCATACTTGTCATCTTCTGGTTCACCATCATCTTCAACATTCACCATCACGAATTTCTTTGACAACTCGACGAGATCTTTCGTGTTTTGCGAGGATTTGAACTCGCGTTTCAACGCTGAAAATTCAGAGTTATCTTTGTCACGACAGGATCTTAATGAAGTGTTTGAGGCTTTCTTCTGGTTGAAGTCCAAGACTGTCTTTAGGCTTAAGTCCAAGACTATCTTCTGGTTGAAGTTCAAGACTCTCTTCTGGTTGAAGTTCAAGACTATCTTCTGATTTAAGTCCAAGACTATCTTCTGGCTAAAGTCCAAGACTATCTTCTGGTTTAAGTCCCAGACCATCTTCTAGTTTCCGTCCAAGACCATCTTCTGGTTTAGACTCAAGTTTAGCTTGGTTTTTGTCCGAGTAACTTTTAGGCCAGGTTTGACCAGCTATTGACCAGCTATTAGGCCAGATTTGACCAGCTAGAACTCTGCCAAGACTGTCTTCTGGTTTCTTCTGAAAAGTCGGTTTTAAAAAGCAAATAACAGAGATGATCTCCCATTTTAAACAAATTTCAACTCTTTTAAAACTCACACGAGCACGCTCCACACCAAGTTTTATGGATGAGGAAGAAGATCGGTTTGTTTTGCTCTTTCGCCACCTCGACAGCGTTTTCCCATTGAACCCAGTCGATATCGCCAGCGAAACCTAGAGATTACTAAAGTAAACAATATCTAAAGTTTACTGCGTAATAACTGTTATACTATGCTTAATTTTATACTCTCTAGCTTAAAGGAAACATCAACTTTGACAGATTCAACTAATGCAATTTGATCTACAATTTTTCCATGAAAACCCATTCTTTTTTTGGTCCCATTTGGTCCCATTTGGTCAATTCTTTTCTTTACATATAAAAATAATAAGAAGTTAATCCCAGAAATCTCAGGAAATCCCGAAATCCAGGTTACCTGGATGGGATAGAAAGATGACTGGAGAGGTTGTTTCACTCAATTTTTAAAAATTCTAATTCTTTTACCAGCTAACGGTTTACCATTTTTTTGACAATTATATCAGTTTTCAAAGCTAACGGGTTACTTGGATTACAAACAAGCTAAAGCTAACAGTCTAAAGCTAGCATTCTAAGCTGACAACCTAAAGCTAACAAACCAAGCTAACAATCTAAGCTAACGATCTAAAGCTGACAATCTAAAGCTGACAATATGCTAACAATCTGAAGCCACAAGCCAAAGCATCGCTTGACACTCAAGAAAATCTGCTTACCAATTATAACAAACAAGTTATCCGCTTTATCGTTCGCTTGCAACTTTTTCGACTTTAATTTTCTAGTATTGTACCTCAAAACTTACTTTAGACTTAATAAACTCTATTCAAATCATAGAATTAAATTCAAATAAGGTAGATATTTAGATTTAGATTCAAATAAGGTATCTAGGTACCTCCAGCATAGCTCTAGAGCTATGCTGAAGAAGAGAGCTATGCTATGAAACAGCTAGAGCTATGCTGAAACAGCTGGGTTACTTCATTTGAAGCTATGATGGGATAGGAAAGATGACTAGAGAGGTTGTTTCACTCAATTTTTACAAATTCTAACCCTTACCAGCTAACAGTTTACCATTTTTTGCACAATTATTTCAGTTTTCAAAGCTTCACCCACCATTGCTGAGATCTTTCTCCTTTTCTCTTCCCTTTGCCTCTTCTTTCTTCTCTTCTTTCTTCTCTTCCTCCTTCACTTTCTTCTCTTCTTTTTCTTTCTTTTCTTTTTGCGAAAGTCGATGTGATTAAGAGAAAAGTGATCGTCAATAAAAGAAGATTTCTCATTCTTACCCTAAAAATTTTCTGAAAAATGTTTAATCTTGAATTAAAACTGGATTAAAAATACAATAAAAAGGAGTAATTTAATCTCAAAATTCTCCAAAAAGCGCAAAAGATCAAATTGTTTTCAGAAAAAGAAGGGGTTTGTCATTTACAATTTTCGTGTGTGGCGTGTGTTAAAGGAGCTTTAAAGGAGCTTTAAAGGAGCTTTAGAGAAGCTTTAAAGGAGCTTTAGAGGAGCTTAATGGAGCTTCAAAAGGAACTATAAAAGGAACTATATTGGAGCTTTAAAGGAGCTTTAAAGGAGCTTTAAAGGAGCTTTAGAGAAGCTTTAAAGGGAGCTTTAGAGGAGCTTTAATGGAGCTTTAAAGGAACTATAAAGGAACTATAATGGAGCTTTAAAGGAGCTTTAAAGGAGCTAAATAGGAACTTAAAGGAGCTTTAAAGGAACTATAAAGGAACTTTAAAGGAGCTTTAAAGGAGCTTTAAAGGAATAAAGTAATTGGATATAAAATTGGAATCTTTAAATGTTTTAACTTTATATTTAACTTTATATTTGCTTTATGAAGAAAATGAAAGAAGTCAAGAAGTCAATTTGAGAAAAGAAATGAAGTCAATTTTGATAAGATTTTAAGCCATTACGACAGCGGGACTAATCCTTTAACCTTTTTTTTGATTAAAACGTTTTTGCTACATTTGTGGCATCTGTTTTCACTAAACTTTCACTAAAATCGCTAAAGTCAATCGTTTTTACAAAATCTCCATGCAATTTATCCCCTTTTTCTAACAGTCTTTCTAAAAGAAAACTTTAATATAAGTAATAGTACAATTGACAATTGAGTACAATTGATTGATTATATGACACCACAATTGATTATAGATGGCTGGGAGTCTTGTGTCCTAAGCAAGAATCTTTGTATCCTAATCAAGAATCCTTGTATCCCAAGCAAGAATCCTTGTATCCTAAGTCACGCCTTTGATCCAACCGCCTAGAAAAGCTAGCTCTTTTACCTGAGTTTAATATTTGCTTTTTGTCAAATTATTCATTTTGAATAAATAGATACTTTTTCATTAAACAACCTTGCAAATCAAATGCAAAATTGATCAAGTCAATGCCAAGTTAACTCATTCAAATCTCGCTGTTTTTTCATTTTAAATACGAGTTTCTTTATCTGGTCACCAGCTGAAAAATCCCCTAACAGCCGGACGCGTAGCCGCCATGGCGCAGTCGAGAGCACCCTGGTCTACGGCCCCCACGACCCGTAATGCCCTCGGGTTCGGCTCCACTAGTGCCATCCAATCTTGATTTTTCAATATTTTATTTTAAATTGTATATTAGATTTAAACTATATTATATCTTGAGCCTTTTAAGATAATTTTAGTGTATTTGACCCAAAGATGGCTGAGAAAAAGCCCAGAGAGACAGACAGACGGACGGACAGACAGACGGACGGACGGACGGACGGACGGACAGACGGACGGATGGGCAGAGGGACGGACAGACGAACAGAAAGACGGACGGACAGACAGACGGCCAGTCAGACGGACAGACGTACAGACGGACAGACGGAGAGACGGACAGACGGACAGACGGACGGCCAGACGGACAGACAACACGGCCAGACGGACGAACGGACAGACGGACGAACGGACAGACGGACGAACGGACAGACGGACGAACGGACAGACGGACGAACGGACAGACGGACGAACGGACAGACGGACGAACGGACAGACGGACGAACGGACAGACGGACGAACGGAGACGGACGAACGGACAGACGGACGAACAGACTCTCTTTTAGATAATAGATTGTAATCGTAAATTTATCGACAATTTTCAGATAAAGCCAGGCATTTGTCAAAAAGTAAAGCAATTTTTAAATTTCTAATGAAAATTAAGCCTACTTGATCGCACCAAAAGACAATTCGGAGGCTAAGCTCGATCCCAGGTCCCCTAAAAACTTTTTCCTTCTCTAAAATGTGCACTTGAAATCTTTGTCCCGAAACTCTTCCACAAAAAGACGAATTTTTCCTCCAAATACAAGCATTTCCCGGAGTTATTTCCCAATCGATTCACAAAATTATCACGATTCGGGGAAGTTTTTTTGTTTGCCTCGCCTCTTCACTTGCCCCATTTTCCCTTCCAAAAAAAAGGGAGGAGGTCACAAATCGAATAGATTTGTCGCTGTAAGCACAAGGTTGTTGGGGGGAAAAGTTGTTTTAAAGGGGAAAAACAATTGTTTTAAAGGGGAAAACAATTGTTTTAAACGGGAAATAGTTGTTTTAAAAGGGGAAAAAGTTGTTTTAAAGGGAAAAAGTTGTTTTAAAAGGGAAAAAATATGATTTTATGCTCTTTCAGGATGCACCATTTTTGTTTTGTAACAAAAGTATTCAGCTGAGTGTTTGGATTATAGGGTGGATGAACTAGATGAACTACCGTAGGCTTGGGAAAGTGTACGCTCATTCGATAAACCATCACCCTGAAATTTCGGAGTATAAAATACTATTTTGTGCTATGAGCGTCGAAATAGCGTAATGAAATGAAGCTTTAAGCAAGCACAAAAGTTGTTTTAAAGGGAAAAGAAGTTGTTTTAAAGGGGAAACAATTGTTTTAAAGGGGAAAAAGTTGTTTTAAAGGGGAAAAAGGTTGTTTTAAAGGGGAAAGAAGTTGTTTTAAACGGGAAAAAGTTGTTTTAAAGGGGAAAAAGATGTTTTAAAAGGGGGAAAGTTGTTTTAAAGGGGAAAAAGGTTGTTTTAAAGGGGAAACAAGTTGTTTTAAACGGGGAAAATAGTTGTTTTAAAGGGGAAAAGTTGTTTCAAAGGGGAAACAATTGTTTTAAAGGGGAAAACAATTGTTTTAAAGGGCTAAGAAAACAATTGTTTTTAAAGGGGAAAACAATTGTTTTAAAGGGGAAATAGTTGTTTTAAAGGGGAAAAATTGTATATGTTGTGTCCGATTTAGATTGAACTTATCGCGGACGTCCGATTTAGATTACAGTCTATATCGAACGTCCGATACAGATCGAACAATAATAAACGTGCTTAAGCGTTCTTAAGCGTTTTTTTTTTTGCAATTTTCTGCGCATTTCAAAGAAATTTTATTGTCTTTTTTTGGATGGAATTTTTGTTTTCTTGTTTTCCTATTAAATGCTGCTTTTTTAGAGATGGAGGACCTTTTGACCAAGAATTTGGCGTGTCTTTACAAAAGAAGAAAAGAGGACAAATTCGGTTCTTTTCTAATATCGGGGAGCGGTCCGATTATCGGGGGAGCGGAAGGAAAATCGGGGGAGCAAATTTTGGCCCCTCGAAAAATGCATTTCTGGGACTTTTATTTTAACTGCAGCGTTTTTTTAATTTTTTGGCAGCGCTACATATGTCCTATATTATCCAAAGTACTGCCATAAAATCCGCGAATTATCGACTCGAATTCCTCTTGAATGCTTGGGGACATTTCGCCGTGCGCAAGTGTCACATACCCAGCAAAATAGATCTTTTCCCTTTGAGCGGACTTTCATCGATTCGCCACAGTTGCATCCACGACTGGATGACTCCTTTGGTGACGAAATAATCGATTGCCGTCGATTCCTTGAACGCACAAATATCGGAGAAGCGCATCGTCGTTAAAGTTTTAAAAAAACGTTGCAGTTAAAATAAAAGTCCCAGAATGCATTTTTCGAGGGGGCAAAATTTGCTCCCCCGATTTTCCTTTCGCTCCCCCGATTTTCTTTCCGCTCCCCGATAATCGGACCGCTCCCCGATATTGGAAAAGAACCACAAATTCCAACAAATTCCAAGATATCACCATGGAATCAGAAGAAATCCATTTGCCGCAATGCTTGGTAAATCCTTGTGAGACGGACTTCCCTTGCTATTGCTGATGTGCCGGAACGTTCAACTGCCTTTCGTGCCGCCATCGGTGATTCTTCTATTCACGGGAGAACAAGGTAAGTAACATATAACTTTATTTCATTTTGCGTGTTCCATTAGGCCATAAACATTGCTTGTGTGCTGGAAAATGCTCGTCCAATCGATGTTCGTGCAAAGGATGGCCGACTCTGCAATTCAAGATGGCACAATGGCCTAAGCTGCAAAAATAAATAGAAATTTTTAACTCGTTCGTTGTTGTTGTTGGTTTTTTGTTGTTGTATGTTGTAATTTCGCATCTATTCTGTTAACGCTAATAAATTGTTTCATAGTTGGGTTTTCTTTTCAGAAAAAGACAGTAACAGACCTTTGAAAAATGCAGAAAACTACAGAAAACGCTTAAGAACATATATTAAGCATGTTTATATTATTGTTCAATCTATATGTCGTAGCCGATTATGAATGAAATTTTTTGGTAAATCTTTCTAGTAGAGCAACCCTTTAATGTATGAGGACAATATTATATCATCCTGTAGCGAATTAAATTCTACGTCGATTGGTACCAAATTTGTGAGTTTAGGTTAAAAATTACCGGCGGCTACAACGTTTCATTTCAAAATCGGCGGGACCCTCGTAGCCGATTATGAATGAGTGGGTCTAAGCGTCAACCATCAAGTATTTAGTATCATTCAACGCAGAATCATTATCAATTATGTTAAACTTTTAAATTAGAAGATTTGATAAAAAGGAGAAAAGTAGAGCGGAAAACTGTTTGTTCAAGAGGAAACTTTGGGCCCCATAATTTTTTTCTTTTTATCAATCTTTTAATTTAAAAGGAAATTTAACATAATTATTGATGATTCTGCGCCTGCGATGGTTGTATTCATGTCTGCGTTGAATGATACTAAATGCTGATGGTTGGACGCTCCTGGACCCGCTCCTTACGTAATCTGCGTTGAATGATAGCAAATACTTGAT